CTTGGAGGGTGGCTTTTGGGGCTCAGTAGTTTCTACTTCAGAGCTCTTAGATGTGAGTCTCGATCTTTTTATTTTACAGACACTCACATTGCTTGAATCAGTATTTAACTCTTTCACCTGGACATTGTCCTCTTTCTTCATTCGGCCTTTTTTCTTCTTTTTCTTTTTCTTTTCTTCAACTGCTCTTAAGGAAGGAATGGGTTTATTCTTTCCTGTCTTAGGAAATATGCCAGGTTTTCTTGGTGCTTCCTCTGGTGGGTTGTTAAGAAACTCAATAGCTTTTGCTGCTTGTTCTTTTGTTTCAAATTCCACAAAAGGCAAATCCCTTTGGATCTCTAGTAGACTTATAATGAGGTATACTTATGTGAACAACATTGCCACATTTCCCAAATACTCTTTCAATCCAGCTGTGATTAACATTTTAAGGAAGTAACTCCACATACACTGTCCTCTCATCTTCATCCTTTGGTCTTTCACCCAGTGGGGTTTTCCTTCTGATTTTGGTACCTTCTAAATCCAGCTCTACAACAGCTGAATTTTTCAAAGCTCTGGCTATTAACTTCCCATCAGTAGTTAATTTTTTCATTTTGTTGAAAGACACCAGGAGTGGTATATCAACATATCCATTTCTAGATTTTTCTATCTGCTTATGAAGAAATGGGTCCTTGTAAAGATTTGCATCCCCAAACCAGAAGTCTACTTGCTTTGCAATATCTGCAAGCACCTGTTTAACTCCAGAACTTTTCTTTTTTTCTACTTCCTTTTTCTTTTCAGTGCTTTCTTCTTCCATTGCCTTTTCTTGGTTTCCACTTTCAGTTTCCATTCTCAGTTCAATTCCCAATATACAGGGTCAAGTTACTGGGTCCTCCAGCCCTTCTCGTCTCCTGATCAACAGATAAGATTTTGACATGTATAATAGTTTCTTAGGATTGCTGTAATAAATTACCACACACTGAATGGCCTTAAACAACAGATTTTTTTTTCTTTTATATTTCTGGAGAATACAAGTCTGAGGTCTGGTTGACAGTAGGGCCATGCTTTCTGTGAAGGTTCTTTCCATGCTTCTCTCTGAGCTGCTGACGTTTGGCAATTCTTGGCATTCCTTGGCTTGAAAATATAATATTCTCATGTCTGCCTCCGTCTTTGCATGGCATCCTCCCTGGGTGTCTCTTCACATCACCCTCCTTCTGTGCCTGTCTGTGTCCAAATGTCTCTTACAGTGACACTAGTCATTAGATTAGGTCCCACTTTAATCCAGTATAACCTCATTTCAACATGATTATATCTGCAAAGACTATATTTCCTAACAAAGTCACATTCTGAAGTTCTGAGTGGACATAATTTTGGAGGGATGTTATTCAACCCAGTAAAACATGCATGTGTTTTTTTATTCCTTATGTAATCAAACTTCTACAACTATTATTCTTATAAAATAAAATCATATTTACACATAATATCAGGTCTGACAATTAAGTTTGTGAACTCATTCTAAAAAAAGTGCTACATACCCTTTGTGATGATTATCACTATAGTCATCCTAAGGGAAGCTATGAATTGCCACCAATGCCTAGTCCATGCTTCAAAGCAATTTTGGAATGACCATCAGAACTATCATCACATGTCACACAAAAACATGCAACAATGGTAATGAATGCCACTAAGCAACACACTACTATGCATTGACACGAACACAGCTATGAGACACTGATAAAACAAGGTTATAGACCTTACCGATTTATTAGTAAAGTGCTGTCAAGGTAAGTGAATAATGGCAAATTTGCAAACTTAATTGTCAGACCTTATTTTAATAATAGCTCTGATAGTCATTCCAGAAAAAGAGTTCCAAAATTGCTTTGAAGGGAGTACTAGCCACTAGCATTGTGTATAGCTTCTCAGAGGGAGTACTTCAAAGGTAACTGTAGTGAAATTCAGCAATGAGCTATGTAGCACATTTTCTAGGATTAGTTTGCAAACTTAATTGTCAGACTCTGTATTTGCAATTTATTACTTAAACTAATATTGACATATAGTACATATTAACTTCATCTCACTTTTAAAAAACTATTTTGTAGTATTCAGCAACCAATCCTTTGTTAGTATCTACCACTGTAGGTTGATTACAATAATTCATTTTTACAAACAATGCTATAATTTTTTTTGAGTCTCTCTTGTCACCCTCTGTAGAGTACTGTCCTATCATAGCTCACAGCAACCTTAAATTCTTGAGCTAAAGCAATTTTCTTGCTTCAGCCTCCTAAGTAGCTGGGACTACAGGGCACCCACCACAATGCCCAGCTATTTTTAGAGACGGGGTTCTCTCTCTGACTCAGGCTGGTCTTGAACTGTGAGCTCAAGCAATCTACCCACCTCAGCTTCCCAAGTGCTAGTATTACAGGCGTGAGTCACTGTGCCCAGAAACACTATGATTTTAGAGCAGGAGTTGGAAAACTATGAACTATGAATTAAATTTGGCTAGATGCCTGTTTTTGTAAATAAAGTTTTATTGGAACACAGACGTCCTTGTGAGAATCACAGCTCCAGTAACAAGTGAACATGCAACTAAAGTGCTTCTGTCAGGTGTAGAAAACCTGCAGTCTTGAAAACTGAGGAAGACGTTAAGATCCAGATGGGTGCCTGTCAACTTTTGGCTCAGAGGAGGCTGTGGTGCAATGTTCTTCAGTTATCCCAAATCTGGGTTCAGCTGACACCAGCCATCTCACCATGTCGCCTAAGTTTGATCCCAATGAGATCAAAGTCATGTATCTGAGGATTGTGACCCAAAGAAATTAACCTGCAGCATGTGAACAGTAGTAGTCAGTGCCATGATACAGCCATAGAAGAGATAACCAGGTGCCTGGCATTAGAGACTGCAATGGAAGCTGGTCCCAGCAGTGGCTTCTTCTAAATGTCACTCTTCCAGAAATATTCTAATAACAAATTTGCAGAAAGAAAGAAAGAGAGAAAGAAAGAAAGAAAGAAAGAAAGAAAGAAAGAAAGAAAGAAAGAAAGAAAGAAAGAAAGAAACAAGAGGAAGGGAGGGAGGGAAAGAGGGAGAGAGAGAAGGAAGGAAGAAGGAAGGAAGGAAGGAAGGAAGGAAGGAAGGAAAGAGAGAGAGAATTGGGCTAAATCAGCCTACATTTCTGCCACATTCTTAAGTAGCAAAAATGGAAAAATGCTTTCCTCCTCTGTAGGATGTAAGGTTTATCACCCATTAGTACTTAGATGCCTCTGATTTTTCCCTACCTGTGAACCAGTGATCATGTAAACAAAAACATTTGGACCCCTGTAATATTTTTGCAGAAAGTAGATGAATTCTGAAGAATGGCTATAGATTATTTTAGACTTAAAAAGCAGCTCTGATTGCAAGTAGGGTGCCAGATGTGGCATCACAGCTAAAACAATGTGTATAAAGATGTTTGTACATAGTATGTAGTCATTGATTTGTAAAATGCATTTACTTTATTTCAACTAAAAAAGTGAATGATAGGAGAGAGAACTTGCTGCTGGGCATATCCTAGAGCCCACTTTTTAATGGATTTGTTTGTTTTTTTTCTTGCTGATTTGCTTTTCTTTGTTGATTCTGACATTAGCGCTTTACTAGATGTATAGTTTGTGAATATTTTTCCCATTCTGTAGATTATCTATTTGGTGTGTTGGTTATTTGGTTAGGTGTGAAAAAAAATCCTTTTAATTTACTCAATTTATTTGTTTTTGTTGCTGATGTGATTGCCATTAGGGTATTTATCCTAAATTCTTTGCCTAGACCAATAACTAGGTCTTCTTACATTTTACATCTTCTTCTAGGATTTTCCCACATCTTCTAGGATTCTTATAGTTTCATGCCTTACATTTAAGTCTTTTAAATCTTGAATTAATTTTTTGTGAGTGATGAGAGATATGGATCCTGTTATATTATTCTCCATGTGGCTGGCTACCCCACATTCCCAGCACCATTTGTTAATAGGGCTTTTTTCCTCCAATGTATATTGTTGCCCACCTTTTTTATTTTGAACTTATCTTCATTTTGTTTAACTTTCATCTAACTAGCTAATTTTGTATTTATCTTATTACATTGTGTAATCAATTCATTGATAACTATATACTTGTAATTAATATAAATAATTAAATAGACATTTCACTCCTTACACTGATTTAAATTATATCAACAAAGGAATGCTTCATCACACCAATATAAGTTGATTTTGTATATGACCTGATTCATGTTGGAATATCACTTCAGGGACAAATAGCTACCTACTCACATGTGCCTTTTTATGAGTAAGGTCCTCATCATAGAGGTCTTTTGAATTAGATATCTAAATATAGTTTCTCTTCACAATAAAACTTTTATACTGTGTATTTCAGCAGTCCCTTAATCCTGTCTACACATCTCATCCTCATATTCCATCTTTGCTGTCATATGCACTCAGATCATCATAATCATTCTGTTAGTATTGGAAACATGTCCCATCGGCATTGCATTAAAAAAATTATTGATGACAAGGCCAATTGCCTTACGAGTTAATAAATGTTAAGGTGGCACACGAAGATAATGGATATTCCACATTCATTTAAATAAGGAGAGATTGGTTAGAAACAAACATGTAGAATTGTTGAGAAACAGAAAGAAAACTGAGGAAAAAATAAACAGTCCATTGAGACAAGTAAATATGATATTGGAGCATTTACAGAACAATTTTGTGGGGGTAGTTGATGAACACGAACACAGACCTGAGTGACATCTGAAGGTATGAGCCATTATGCTGCCTCTGTTAAATAGACATAGAAAGAGATTTCTTAGGCTTTCTCTTTTAGTGTTCGTATTCAATGAAATGTGTACAAAAACATTGGCCCTTCACACAAGGAAAAATAAAATCACTCCATGGTCTGTTCTTTCCATAGCTCATTTGGAGATCCATCTGGGATTTAGATACTTGGGCAAAGGCATCAGTTGTCCTTATTACTCATGTGCTGACAGGTTTATTGCTGGGATTCAAAGTTTATGAAGTGCCTTTGCACAGGCATTTTTCCACCTTTTCCCGTATTTCCTTCATCTTTATACCATAGATGATGGGGTTGACCATTGAGGGTATAAGAAGATAGAGATTGGCAAGGAGAACATGTGCATGAGGTGGGATATTGCCACCAAAGCGATGGATGATAGCGGAAAAGAGTCCAGGTCCATAAGAGATAAGGATGACAAAGAGATGGGCTGAGCAGGTGTTGAAGGCCTTGAAGGTGGCATCTCGAGAGTTGAGACGAACTACAGACTGAAGGATGAGGGCATAAGAGAAGCCAATGAGCAGCAGATCAAGTCCCACCACAAGCAGGATCACAAAGAGCCCATATATACGATTAGGTCTGGTGTGGTTACAGGCCATTTTTGCCACAGCCATGTGATCACAGTAGCTATGAGGAATTACTGTACGGCAGAAGGTCAACCTTTGAACGAGAAAGGGAACGGGGAGGACAAGAATCATCCCCTTAGCTAGAGCCAGCAGTCCCAGGCGTCCAACTAGGGAATGGCTCATAATTGTGTTGTACCGTAATGGCACACACACAGCCACAAAGCGGTCAAAGGCCATTGCAACAAGTATGGCTGATCGCACCACCGATGTTCCATGGATGAAAAACATCTGGGTGAAACAGGCCTTGGCAGTTATGTCCCGATCATTGAACCAGAAGAGGAAGAGAAGCTTGGGCACCAAGGCCAGAGTGGATATGAGGTCAGCCACCAACAGCAGAGCCAGGAGCAGGTACATGGGTGTGCGAAGTGTGGGCTCTATGACCACCAGGAAGAGGATAGCACCATTGCCAATGAGGATAGCCAAAAACATGGAGAAGAAAGTAACAGATAGCCATAAGTTCTGTGACTCTAAGCCAGGTATGCCCATCAGAGTGAAGGTCATGAAGCCGGAATGGTTGAAGATTAGCATGGTAGAAACATGGTGGTTGCTTAGGCACCTGCCAATAAGACATGGGTAATGGCTTGTTTTAATAGGTTTGGGTTATAATGACTTGCTGAGATATGGCCTAGAGCAGAGGTTCTCAACCTGTGGGTCATGACCCCATTGGACTATGTTAAAGGTTTGTGGCATTAGGAAGGTTGAGAACCACTGGCCTAGAGGATGATGGCAGAATGACTCCTTAGGATTATCAAATCCATAATCTGGTTTAAAGTGTACCTCTAAGTACCTACCTTGTTTTCACAATCATTACTTTATGAGTCTTTGTCTTCTTTTCTGTATAAGGGAAGTTGTACTGGAACTCTACTCTCACCGTTCCCAGTTTAACAATTCTATACTTCAATAAATATTTGTGAAGTGTGAGTAACTGAAGTAGGAGAAACCAACTTTATCCCAGACAATATGGAAGAGCCTGACAGTAGAGCTATTCCCTTCTCATTGAGGAGCATCCAAAATATATATAAAGAGAGAAAACATACTTCCTTACCCCTCATTCCAGGAGTGCAGACCTGTTAGAGGAAATCTGTAAGTTCCTTTGATTTTATTTTTTGTTTCTCTGGGAAAGGTCCACTCTTGGGTGGTGATTCCTTTCCTACCCATAGTGATTTCTGGATTTTTATTTTTGGACAAAATATAAAAGATATAATGTGCCAATAAGGATTATTTTCACTGAAATAATGTATATGTAACTTATATAATTCTATAATTGCCTTAAATAATGTAAAAATTGACTGTCTTCCACTTTCTCCCAGGGTATGCACATTTGCACTCTGCTAAACAGTCCTTGGAGGCTTTTGACCTGGCTCATACGTGACTCTCTAACACACTACAGCTGGAATTCATGTGTAAATTTTATTATCTTTAATTATAAAGTATTTACTTAAAATTAGTCCACTGAGGTACCCAAGAGTACTCATTGATTTTTCAGTTCTTATCATGAATTGAGCAGAATTTGACTCTCCTTTCACGATCTGCAGACAGTCTAGGCAGTAATTAAGTCAAGACCTCTTTCCACCTCTGTGGCACCTGCTATCTCCCCCTTCTCATACATTGTTCATTCCATCTATATATATTTTTTAGGTCATAG